AAACCTTAAAATTTATTTGATTCAAGGTATTTTCTTTAGTTAAACTAAATAATACATTGAGCGTTCTCGAAAATTTGTGTAACTGTATACTATAGAGCTAGATCTTTTTATGAAGAAATGAGTTTTTTTTTTAATCGAATCTTTCCGAGATCAATTTACAATGAAATATCCGTCATTGTGGATATATGGCTAATTGTATGAAATTCACGAAGAACATTTGAATAGCGAAAACCTAACGTAATCATATGTATTGAAAGTCTAGTTCATTGAACTTATACAATACTTTCTTATGATACAAACAATCTCTTTGCGTATCAATTTTTTCCAAATAAGTGTGCGCGGTCACTTGCTTGTTCGGACATATGCGCACTAGAAAAGTTACTCTCTCTCTGAGATCTCCTATTGGATGTATCCTCACAGTGGAAACTTTTAAAGCGTTTTAGCTCGAATGAGCTATGTCTCAACTTCTAGCAGGAATCATCAAAGAAAATGAGAGCTTCGAGTTCACCTCTTGCTATTCCATGAATCCTGGCCTGAGAAGGTTTCTTTTTAATTGGATAAAACGTAAACTATTCAATAGAACTCGTCAAGCTGCACAATATTTCTGAAGTGTCTCACGAGGGAACCTTTCGAAATGTTCAAAAAGTTTAGACTTCATCTTTTAGTCAGAAGTAGACTTCGATGATATATGAAAAAGCTGACAAGGATTTGGGTCTTAAGGTCTTTCTTATTAACATATTGAATTTTTAAGATATGGTATGAGAAAACGAGAATAGGTGCGGGTGTGGAGTGCGAATAAGGCTATTCTCTTGAACACCCCATCTTAATATTATCCGTCTCACATATCTAAATCACAATCAATTATCATCCTAAACTTTTCGTCGAATGATTCAATACGTTTGGTATACTAGTGATTATACGGGCATTTATTCAGGACCTTTCAAAACAACTGCCGATGCGTGTTTCTCGTCAGACATTACGATGTATGATATCCATCCTGTAATACAACGTCTTTCATCGGCTGCAGCTAGTGCCATAAACCATTGTGTTTCACTCATTTTTTCTTGAACTACTACTTTTATTAAATTTCTCTAGAAAGATCATTGGTGTTTACAATGATATCAAAAATCAAATGAGAATTTTATGCGCCAATAGCTTGGGAAGAAAGACCTTAGGGCTCAAATCCTTTTCATACCTCATCAAGTTCTAATTATGGCCACAAGATGAAGTGTAAATTCTTTGAACAGCTCGGAAGGTTCCGTCGTCAGTGAACTATAACTTATTACTTAGTAAAAACAAAAAAAAGCAAATAATTGCAAGTCATTACAAATGACAAAATGATGAAATTACTTAGGTCTGATCAAAAGTTCTAAGAACATTAAATAAAAATATAAAGATAATGGAATATTTTTAATTTCGTTTTTATCAAATGTTGAGGATAGTTGCCCTTATTATTTATATTAAGTTCGATCCTTTCTAATAATTTGTTAAAAGTTTTTTTCGAAAAAATTGTTAGGCACCTTGAATACCGTATGAGCAAATCATGTTTCATTTGTTTTAAAAATTCGGCAAAATTTTGTTCGATCATATCAGTTGCGTTCTACTATATGGATTTATTTTAGATAGGTCAGTCATAAACCATTTGATACTAGATGGCTTATTGAAGATGAATCGTCCAACACTGTTGTTCATAGAAACAGATTTTAATCCAAACTTTGTTTAGTATATTCTTTAAATCAAATAATTCTGAGTGTAGGTAAAGACATGACTATAGCTCATAAGTATTATATTGAAAATCGTCTGAAGCCTTTTGTTAATGAAATATGGAAACAAACAGAGATATCAGATTCAGAATTGTTTGATGATCATCGATGGCTTCATACTCATCCAATGTTATTAATTATATGATAGAAGAAGGCATGAGTATAATGTCATATCCACCATATTCGCCAGGCCTGATACTATGTAATTTTTGGCTAACTAATCCTGTTGAATGTAGTTTAACTGATTAAATAAATGAAACATGATTAACTGATGCGGTATCCAAGGTACCTAAAAATTTTTTCGAAAAATACTTCAAAAAAACCTTTTAACAAATTATTCGAAAGGATCGAACTTGGTATAAATAATAAAAGCAACTATCCTCAACGTTTGATAAAAACAAAATTAAATATATCTCATTATCTTTATATTTTTACTTAATGTTCTTAGAGCTTTTGGTCAAACCTAAGTATAGATTTGAAATTTTTTCAAATACTTTTAATTAATAAATGATATTATATGTTATTAATTAGACACACATTTTAATAAAAATCAAGTTCAAATTCAATCACATGTTGGGAATAATAATGATGTTTATTTTTCTTTTTTTGGAACACAAAAAGATAAAAGGAATAATCCGGAAAGAAAAAAAAAAGAAAAGATCATCAAATAATACTACTAAAGTCTATTTTAATCATTAATGGGATGAATTCTACTATGTTTGTTCCGTTTCTAGAAATTAAAAAAAAAATTTAATGTATTAAAAATAACAAAAACAATAAAATTCTAGAATCAATTTACTTGGTGGATGAACTTGATCGGATAGTTTTCCACCTTGCCATTTATTAACACGTACATATGATTCTTCACGTTTCATAGCTTCTTTTGCTGCGGATGATTTTAAACAACGACGAAGTGTACGTGCACATACTGCTGAATATTGAATATAACTAAGCAAAAATAAAAATAAAAAGTAAAATGCAAATTCATAAAAAGAAAAATCATTAGTAAAAAATTAAAAAACTAACTTTAAACCAACTAAACGCCAATACTGCATTTTGTCTTGTATTTGAGAGTAAAAAAAACAACAAAAACAAAATAAACTACTCTCCGCACGTACGTACGCATTCAGGTTTCTTTTTCATCGTTGGAGAAAATATTCTCCAATGAAATAAAAGATAATATAGATATTGTTACTAGGTTACACGAACATGATTGATCACTCTTATGGCTGAAAGCATATACAAGTTTTTTTTTATTTTTTAATTTCAGAATATTGTTCAATAGAATCATGTTCGTTCACCTTGCTAAACGTATTGCTATGCCAAATGATACACCAGTCACAAAATGTGGTTGGAATACAGTTGATGGTTATGTATCAGCTGGTTGTGCTGATGGTCTTGTTAAAGTTCTTAAATTAGAAATACCTGAAGGTAAAAAAAAAATTCATTATTTTCTTTAACTCTTATTGTTTATTTTTTTTTAAAAATAATTTAGTGGGTGATGCACGTACACGTGGTGTTGCTGGCCAAGCACAATTAACAAAAAATCAAACATTAGAAGGACATGCAAGTGCTATATCAAGTATAGCATGGAATGAACAATTTGGAAAATTAACAACAGCTGATTCAAATGGAACAGTTATTGTTTGGGTTGATGGACCACAAAATGAATTTGTACAAGACATGCTTAATAATAGAACAAAAAATCGTATTAGTGATATGAAATGGAATTCAAAGTATATTTTAATCAAATAGAAATTTAATTATTAAAATTAATTCTTTTTTTTGCTATTGCAGCGGACAAATGATTTGTATTGGTCATGAAGATGGTAAGAGAGAACAAAAAAAAAGATTTTTCAAAAAAAAAAGAAAAAGAATTTTTTTTTGTTTAGGAAATGTGATTATTGGATCGGTTGAAGGATCAAGAATAGCTGGAAAAAGTTTAAGAGATAATAAATTAGCAAAAGTAGAGGTATAATGAATATTTTTCTAATTTCACAAAATAAAAAACAATAGCAAAAGAGTACAAATTCTTCGGAAATTGAATTCAACTTATTTACAATGATAAATACATATTGTTTAAAGATTATTGTGACTTACAAATGAAGTCTTCCAACTGATTAAGAGAACGTCCATGAGGTCATCGAGTATACGAGATACTCGATAAAAATTTTTTTTTTGCTCGTTCAATGCATCGATGTCTAAAACCACTAATCCTAAAATTTTAGATTTTAATACCCTCCCTATGAAAAATTAACCGATATCGACTTTTAGCACTGTCACAACTTTTTGGAGAAAAACAAGAACAAATATTCTATAGAAGATGTACTAGTTTGTGTTTCAACAGATCATTTAAATTTTTCGTAGTATATAAAGAAAGATAGAGAATTGAAATTTAAACAAAATAAGCTCTTTTTTTTCTACAAAATGGTAAAAAAACCTTGACTTCGATGAAAAACTGGTTTGACATCTCCTCACTTTTTTCATGGTTTTTTAGTAGAAAAATGAACATTTTAATCAGTTTTCATTGCCAAAGCACAATGATAAAGTAAAATAAATATGATATCGGAATCAGCGTCAT